AGACGTCCACTGTGTTTACCAATAAAAGAAGTAGAAGGTCTTTTGAAACCACAAAAACAACAGCAATGCAGTTCAGAAAACAAAAAGGTCAAAACATCACATTCAGTAAACCAAAACTCAAGTATTCCATTAGATTTGAAAACCAACCCTCCTCCATTAGTGTCCACTGCTGCTTCTACTACAACAGGCACAAAAGAAGGTCACACTGATATCATAATTGAGGATCCACTTGAATGTATAAATGTAGAAGTTATTGCAGGAACTGGAGAAAAAGAAAAGGCACTCCTCATATACAGACTTTTATTAATTGAATTAATTTTTTTGTGTCTTAGGAAGAGCATACTGACATAAAATCTGAAGTGATAGAGGTTAAAGAAGAACCACTCATAAAACAAGAATTTTATTCTGATAATTCAGTATCGTTGCCTGGGATGAGCCAACCTGGTCCTGTGGGATTTGAACCGGGAATGTTTAAAAGTGATTCAGATGGAAAAGTAAAATTAGACCCTTCAGGAAAGGTGCAACAACAATATTCTTTGTTTCTTTTGTAATTTTCAGAGTTTTAACGCTCTGAATGTTTTAGATTAAAAAGAAGAAAAAAGATAAAAAGAAACACAAGCATAAACATAAACATAAACATGATCATAAGCATAATAAGGAAAAAGAAAAAAAGGAAAAGGATGGTAAATTAAAATTACGAGAGGAAACATTAAGTTCAATGAGTTCTACTCCAAGTCCCAACCCTAGTTCAATAAGTGGAGATATTCTTTAATATGAACTACAGTAAGTAGTAGTGTTATTTAATGTGGTAAATGAGGAATGTTTTGTTAGAATGTTATTTATTTATTTTTTTAATATTTCCTAAATTTATTTTTTATAAAAAATTAATGTAATTATCAGTAATGAATGGTTCTTTCGTTTTAATTTTTCTTTTCAGCTGAAGATGAGACTTAATAAAAATATTTTGCCTTTGAATATTAATTAATAAATCCTGAATACTGAACTATTCTTAGGTAATTAAAAATACAATTTCATAAATTAAAAAAAGAATGTGATAATTTCAGTATAAAGGTAATTTTTTTATATAAATGCAGATTGCTTATGATAAATTTAAAATAAAGAACTCACAGCTATATAACATAGTGGGCAAGTATATATTTTTTTAATTATTTCCTTTTATTACAGTTTGAAACATTTCCAAAATGATACAAACACTTAATATCGTAAGTGAAATACTGTGTGAGGCATTTATTTGCAAGCAAAATGGATAATCTGACTTCAATAAGGGGCAAAAAGTTCAAAGCTTCATGTAACTTTGTAATAACCATTAAGTTCAAGAATACATTTACATTTTAATATTTTTGTAAGTTATTTATTTTAACTTTATTATCATTATGGCAGATAAATGAAAATACAGCAGACCGGTGTGTTATATTTTATTTTCAATGCATAGGCGATAGAATTATAGGATTTACAGATCCTTCATTTACATACTACTTTTTCAAAACAGCTCTACAAGTTAGCTAAATCGTAGTAAGGCTCGAGTTTAGGGGACAGCTAGGGTGGAAGGAGAAGGAAAAGCTTAGTGATGAGGCAAGATACAAAAACCTAAAGAGAGAAAATTAATACAATATTTTTATTATTATATGTAATTTTTGAGTGATGAACTTGTATTAAAGCATTGCATATTCCACCCAAGTATATTTAACCAGTCAAGTGTCCCATTTTTATTGGGTGGTATTTTTTAAAGATGAATAAGTTTTTATTTAAAAATTAGACTGAGGTAGTGTTATTGAACGCACCTATAAAATTATTGTGGTTATAGAAAAAGTTTGTATCTATGAGTCCTTTATCTGTCAATCATTTAATGTATGATGAATCATAACGTCTCACATACTTCTGTTTTCTAAACGTCTGCGATACGCCATTTTTGCGGTCCATAAAAGGAAACGACGCTTACAGGTATTTAACCGTAATCCTTATTATATTTTCATTTGATTGTGTGGAATATGTTTCTGTTTAATAATTGTTAGGTTTCAATTACGCTTGCTTAGGTTTTTTTAACGTCGACGAATTCCATGTTTTCCTCGATGCTTGAACATGGATGTTGTGTCCTGGCATCTTGCGTGTTTATTCATATATTATGATTTTTTTAGATTTTTAGTTTAGTCGAGGTCGAATAAATAAGGTTTTATTAGAAGGTTTGAATTTTTGGTAACAAGTTTAGGAGATGATTGTAGATTTTCTATATTGGTGTGACCACTCCGCTACGATTTAGTTTCGTTTTATAGATGTAATATGTACAATATTTCACATCACTGTTATTTTGCCATTAAAATTCTAAATTTATTATATTATTTAAAATATTTGTTTTCTGTAATATAGACTTGCTGTGAGACTTCCTCCAAAGTTTCTATTAAAACATAATAAATGTACATGAAGAGGGTAAATCTGAAGGACTGGAAACATGGTGAAGCAGAGCCCCACTTACGTTTCTTTCTCTTAAGTTTGGAAAGGGTAAAAATCTTTAATTTTTTTATGGTTGTGTTTACAAAATGGTTTGTGATTTTTCAAATCTTGTTTTTTGGTGCATATTTTCATTGTATTTCATATTTTATTTAATTTAATCATCTTTTCTTTAATTAATATTTTGTTTTGTTCATTTGTGCAGATCATCCAACAAATGAGAGAGAATTAAAGTTCAGGTTCATGGTACTGAAACAATCGAAATCTACGATGGTGTTGTGTTTGGTGGACTACATTCTTAATTTGCTGTTTTGTCTTGACCTTGCAACATTATGCAGTTAATTTTCAACCGATGAGTGAAAGCAACTGAAGATTTATGTGAATTCCACTGAAATAAGAAATTTTCTGCATTGGCATTCCTGTTGGATTTGATTTGCTCTTCACACCTGCATACTTTGGAACATTACGGTCTACAGTTAATTAAGGTGAGAATACTTGATATTATTAATTTTAATTGCTCCTTATTAATCTGTTACCACCGTATCTGTTTCAGGTCGACGTTGGAGAAGACAAAGATGACCCCGTAGTTAAAATAGTTCTCTATCTTGCATGCTCTATCTAGTAGAATTCATTAAGTTCATTTTATTCAAATTAATTTTTTATTTTGCANATGGAAAGAAAGACCCTAGAAAAAAATATAAGAATCTTTTACTGAACCATTAATTTATTATTTCCTATCCACCCTATTTCGATTATCATTTTTCGCAAACAAACTTTTATAAGCCAAATTACGCATTTATAAAATATACTGTAAGGAAAAAGAATTTTAAATTACAACATATTAGCATTTATGTTTTTTTAGTTGACCAGTATTCAGAAAATAAGGAAAAGGTTCTTATAGTGTTTATTTCTTTAATTTTAAATTCAGAACTCCTGTTGTAAATAGCGCAAAATGAGCAGCCATTTTGGAAATGTGGATTACGATCGCTTATAACGTAGAACAAACGATTGACGTGAGTGCTTTTTACAACCGATTTCTACAGTACTCTTTAGTGAAACTCACCATGATCGGGTCCTGAGAGATATAGAGGCTGTTGATATCCACCGGAAGGGTCATGCATGCCCAAGTTTTCTTGTTGCATATGATTGTTAATTTGCCCTTGGGACTGGTAGTTTTGCATACCTCCTCCCGGTTGATCAGGTCCGGAATGTTGCTGGTGTTGCGTGGGATGGTGCTGCTGATGTTCCTGGTTGATCGAGGGGATGTCGAACTCCTCGTCGCCAAAGCTCGGAGTGTGAAACGTCTGAAAGGAAAAAGGACGAAACATTCATAATATAGAAGTTTTCGAACAAGTTTTAATGTTAGTTGGTTGGCAGAGTTCCTGTTTCACAACTTTGGAAATTTAGTTGAAACTTTTAAATTGGATACGAATCGTCAGCGTTGAAGAAAACGGAACTAATGAAATCTAAGAAAACTTTTATTAAAATGCGTTCGGTGCAGTGTCTAGGTTTGTTTTTGAAGTGCAACTGACAATGTTCTTTTTTCTCCTCGTAATATCCGCTATTACCGGTTTGTTTTTTTTATAAAACTAATTAATAGTACACCTAAATAATTATCTAGAACGTAGGAAGGTGGCGAGATTCTTTCTGCTTAACCAATCAAATGCTATTTGATAACGGTTTAATAGAATCCTTTATAATAAATGAGTTATAATAAGAATCCAGGTATATAATTCTGTATCAAGTTGGCAAAACAATACTGTATGAAAGTAAATAAAAGTAAACCAAAACTACTGGTATGCAAGGGAAGGAAAAGTAGGGAAAGAATGAATATAAAGATAGGAGACGAAGTGGCCGATTTTAGATATCTAGGAAGTCAGATAAGTCAGGACGGAAGTAGTAGGGATATAAAGCAGAGGATAGCGCAGCGTCGAATCGCCTTCAATAAAAAGTTTACTAACCACTTCTAGAATTAATTATTAGTCACCATGTTTATCAAAAATACCTCAAACCATACGAAACGTTTATACACAACTTTATTAATAAAAAGTTAAAACACCTGGTCTTTACTTAATGAACGTTTCTGTATAATTTATTAACTAAAGCTAAAGAATATTTTGTAGGACTTATTATATTTGATACAACACCCGGCTTATGAATCAAATTCGTAATTTATTTGTAACTTTCCAAGTTTCTACAAAAATTTACCAAATATTTGAAAAATTTTATTTTTTATCATATCATAAATTATATGGCTGAGTAAATTGAATTTAATATTCTCAAAATAATGTGTTTTGCTCTATCGTGGACCGTATTATGGAATGGAATTACGAAATCTTAAATTATAACAAACTGTCTACCTGAGCTCATAAAAAACCTACAATATTAGAGAACATAAAATCTGACTTTTTATTGCTTTTATTATTTAAACAGAATTAAGCAACAATTTGCGTGCAGGAAACTATAAAGTTGTGCTCGACCTACTTGCAGAAGACTAATCGTATTTTCTGTAAATAATCACTAAATAACAACCCATTTCTTATATAACGAGTTCGTTAACACTTAGTGGAATGTTGAAAATTTATGCATAAAATAACACGGAAATTTGCATACTCGTGATGAAAAACACCTTTTAAAGGATAAAGTAATATTGTGTCAGAAATTATCAAATTTTTTTCTAAATAAGTACCACTTACAATATCAGTATTAACAAATAATTGATAGATAACAAATTCAAAATTAAAATGATAAAAGTGTACGTATCTATGTTATACAAATAGTCTTTATCTAACATAAATTCCACAGTTTATCCGAAATTACTAGGTTTTACCCGTGGCTTCGCTCGCGTTGATGTCCTAAATACGTGTTAAAGATCATCGACTACCCCATAAAACTAGTTTTTCTATCCCTTAAGAACAGTACTTTTTTTCTGCATAAAACGTACCCTATGCCTTTTTCTGTATTACAGACAATGTAAGTATATAATTTCAAATAATTTTTCTATCCCTGGGAAGCAGTATTTTGTTTTCTGGATAAAAGGTACTTTATGTCCTTTTCTGTACCCCTGACAATGTAATTGTAGGGATAGATATACAGGGGCAAAATATTAGTATGCTTAGATTTGCAAATGATATAGCAGTATTAGCATCTAGCAAGGAGGAGTTAGAAATAGCTCTAAATAAAATGGAACGGGTATTGATAAAACAGTGCTGTATGAAAAAAAAAATAAAGTGAAACAAAATACTGGTATGCAAGGGAAGAAAAAGTAGGGAAAGAGCGAATATAAACATAGGAGACGAAAAATTAATAGAAGTGACCGATTTTAGGTATCCAGGAAATCAGATAAGTCAGGACAGAAGGAGTAGTAGGGATATAAAGCAGAGGATAGCGCAAGGTCAGGTCGCCTTCAGTAAATAGAAATCACTTCTATGCTCGCGATCGGTTAATTTAGAAATTCGAAAAGGGTTGTTAAAGGTGTATGTTTGGAGCGCGATGCTGTATGGGTGCGAAACATGGAAAGAGGGCGCGACGGAAAAGAAAAAGTTAGAAGAGTTCGAAACGTGGTGTTACAGGCGAATGATGAGGAACCATGGATAGAGATGGTCAGAAATGAAGAAGTATTAGAAAGAATAGAACAGAGGACTCTACAGAAGTCAATAAGAAATAGGCGAGATAGGTTAGTAGGACACCTTCTCAGGCATAAAGGTCTAGTAGGAGAGATATTAGAGGCAGAAACAGGTGTTAGGAGGGGTAGAGGTAGACCTAGATTAGATTACTGTTCGCAAATAGGTAAGGATGTGGGATGTTCTAGTTTTAGAGAAATGCGAAAATTAGCTCAGGATAGGAATGAGTGGAGGTGCGTGTCCAACCAGTCTTAGGACTGACGACCTTATGATGATGAAGGTATTACAATAACCAATGTTCGTAGATGTTACGAAATGTATAGGTATTAACCAAAAAACACTAATATTGAAAATAGAATTTGTAGAAAATCCATCGATATGACTTTTGGGATCCTATTATAGACATTTCCTCACTTACACGGGGCATCCTCAGGGTTTACGGATTCTTCAGAACTTTTTGGTGATCAATAGAGAATAAAAAAAGAAAACTGACACGGAACTTAATCATACTTGACACATTTAAAATAATACACCTCATTACATCCAGTGCCTGAATGGTAGGTAAATAGATTTGGCCACTTGTGTAAATAAAAATAGAAATATTCTTTACATAAAAAATTACAGCCACAAATTAGCGGAAACTTGTTTACGAATAACAATGAAATGACGCAATGTTCATTTTAATTGCTTGCTCATTTAATTTGCTACCACACTTTCATCTCACTTAAAATAAACAGTGTTAACTTGCAACTTGTTTCCAATCACATCACAAATTTTATACAGTTTTATGAACACTATTATTATTCACATATGCATCTCTGTCTCTGCAAAATATGGTATGTTATATAGGCAGACAGTTCGCAACAAACAGAAAAAGAAAATGGAAAATATGAAAACCGAGTGCTCTTGCAGTTTCTGTATTATCCCCGAGTTTGCTAGTACCTATCACGGAGAAAATGAAAATTTATCTAAATATTAAAGCAATACTTACAATTTGTCTCACCAGTCCGTTGTTTCGTAAGCGAAAGTAATAAAAATTATAATTTGGACCCGAATTTGTAAAAATAAAATTCCAGCCGAAATAAATTTACTAAGTATTTTAGTTGATATTATATATGGTGTTGCGTTTATTACAGAGTATGTGGTGAATATTGTGATTTAACACATACTATGAACAATTCCCAATAAATAAGAAAATTAATAAAGAAAACCCTTTGAAATTACAGTCTTGCCTCATACATAAACAACAAATCAACAATTTTAATTGGGCTAATCGTAAGTGTCATTAATGAAGCACATTCAACGACAATCAACCTAATTAGGTGTTACCGGCTCCAACACGTATTTCAGATGGATTTACACCATTGTTATATGTAATCAACGTTAATTTTCTACTTGCAGAATGAACATATTTTTTTTTCGGGGAAACAATTAGATAATCTGTATTTTCAAACTACAAATATGCAAAAATAGGTAAAGAAAAAAAAAAACATTACAGAATAAGAATTCTCCACCGCAGTTCTTTTGTGCAATTGCATTACTACTGTTACAGGAAAAAGAAATATGAAGGACTACCCTTTTTGACATCATATACATAAGAGCATTTATACGCTATTGAACAAATTTAAAAAAAACAACATACGTACACTAATAAAATAGTCTGGGGTTGGTAGACCAATTTTTTTCGGGGCTAGTTGAATAATTATTCAACCAACCCCAATGAAATATGTAGTTGAAAACAACACGTAAATTAACTTTTTATTGGACTTTTAAATCGTTACGTGGCCAAATTAAAAGAAAAATTAGAACAGAATCCGAAATTGACGAGAGCAGAATTAACCCTGGACACAGTGGAATATATAAAAAATTGACAAATTTTTACTAATCTAGAAGAGGAAACTTTAGCCAGTTTATTTTTTAACAAAAGGNGTAAGTTAAAATGCGCTATTGGGAAAATTTCGAACATATAGAGAACTAAAGCTGTATTTGACAGAAGAACGCTATTAAAATATGTATGTGTGTAACATCATAATTTTGTAATAATTTTAAAGAACAGTCTCATTTTGATAAACTGTTTTGATAATCCATTAATTATAGTAAAAAAATTTGCACAAAATTCCAATTAAATATTGCAATAATTAAATACTTCCGATTAATTAAAATAACAAATTATGTCTAAATTAAGTAATCGTTTTTAATCATGCTTTTAACGATTTTGCTTAATTAAGTCAACAATAAAGGAGCAACTTTCAAATTAAATTGCTAATTACATTTACTATTACATAACTCATTTAAGGTGAGTGGAAAACAATAACGAAAATAGTAAGAAATGCGTACTTTGACGGCGCTAATTTATAATTTTGCTTGGTTTAGACACGTCTTGTTAATTGTAACATTACAAAAATTAGCAATTTTTATTTACCCGTAATACTTTTCCATGGTTATCCTTTTCGCATTAGATAAAAACTAGTAAAAAACTAGTCAACCATCCCCGGTCTCGCCTAGTAGTAACTAAACTAACAAAATTAATATTATTTTTTGAAACATACATCATTTAACTGCCACATCTAAAATCATTTTTTTGTTTGGTCGAAAGGTAGATGCACCTACCTATAATTACACAGCGTCTTTTAATTCAACTCCGAAAAGATTCCACGTAATTATTTTGGTAAGGTTGATGATTGATTTGACAAGCAATCCAAAAGGTCAACGTCCAAACGAAAAGTAACCTTCACCGAGCACAAGAAAAAGAAGATGATGCGTTCCAGAAATAACTGAAGATCGTGTTACAAAAAAACGCGTACGCGTGCGAACAAAAAACATGATACACAGTGTCTAAAATTAACCGAAGGAGCAAATAAAGGTTTTATTAGGGGTATACTTAAAATAAAAATAATAAATCGGATAACTACAAATTGTAAACACGGAAAAAAATTAAAAATCGGAACCTGGCACGGGTTCTGTATATTATCATTATCATTATCAAACAAGAAATTAAATATAATACACAACAAGGGGGCGCAGAGATGCAAAACCGCCAAAACATTAGACATTTATGTAACTAATTACTAAAATTTCTGTGAAAATTGATATATCGAACTAATGTATTGCTTTTATTGGTAAAAAATAACAATAGGTTCATTTAAGTTGTGTAGCAGTTCTCTCATAAATTTTCAGGAATATCATTTCCTGCAAAATTGTTTAAATTGGCTTATTCGACCCTCCGATTTAATACCTTTCCTTCACCGCGGATAAACGAAATTTCAACTCAAAAATTAAAGGTTTTTATTCTTCATTTCGTAACCAGGTATAAATTTTGAGTGAATTTCATCTGTTTTAGACCTACAAATATCAATGATCAGGAGGAAAAAGTTTTTGGTCACATAT